CCACAGGGTGAACTCTAGAAACAGATGGAGGCTAGGAGGAGGGGGGAGGGGAGTTTTAAGAATAGAAAAGGGGGTAACTGTGAGTTTTAACCATTAAAAGACATTATTTAATTACACGTAAGATCATTCATCTGTTGCCAAGAGAAGCATCTAATGACAGAACTCCAAAGTCAGAAGCCTATCAGTGCCCACATCAGCGACATAATACTTCATAACATATCACATTTATGGGTAGGTGTAGACACGATGCTGTACACAGGGGAGAAAGTGTGCCAAGGCTCACATGACCTGGATCTCATGTGTTGAGAGACCCACCTGCCCACACCACTCAAAACATCTGACTGCATGGAAACATCATCAAAGATCTCCAGTTAATCTTTACATCTCCATCTATCTGTGCCACTATTTTAAAACCATTAATGAAGACGAACTGTTAGCAGCCCTTCAAAGTGACTCGTATCAGACTGGGAATATGGTTTGGAAAAGTTCACATCAAAAGAATTCCAAGCGTGGACTCCCCACTGTTGACACCCGACCCACATTCTCCCAGACCCTGGTTCAGCTGGGAGGGGGGGCTCAAAGAACAGCGGCTATAAATAACTATCTCACCAGGTATTCTTTAGAAAATGGACAGCTTTTAAAGCTCATAGAGTTGACTCGCATTCTAGCTTCTGTTTTTATTTGAAAGCACCGTGGGGTCGAATTTTTAAACTTCTTCTCACAGAGCGTTAAGACTTCTGATACGGCTAAAGAATGTGATACGGGGAGTAATTGAGGCTTTATATTCATTAAGATCAGGGATAAGTTTGGTTATTTATAATCCGTTGAGTATATTTTTAAAAATTAAATGGTTTCATCAATACTGTGGAAACTTTGGGAGCTCTTAACATTTGTGTACTTCTTCGTCAAGAACTTGAACAACATGTAAAAATTCAACATCAGGAGACGGAGCAATTACTCAACTAATCGATAATTCCATCAACAGAAAAATTATATATATATATATTTTGATAAGTCATTATTTGTTTGACCTTATATGTGCAAAATTGGCATCTTCTGATACATTGAATGCAGTGTTTCCCACAGAATTTGATTCTATTTGTGGGGGCACCGCACCCCCCCCCCCCCCGGCAAGAAAAGCCAAAGGCCCCTTAACCTATTCGGGTGGCCCACGCATCCACCCCCCCCTCAAATAAGAAAATACATGCGAGTTCATGCATGGCTACTGCAGACAACGTTCTTGTTGCTCTGTGTTGCGTTGTTAATGAGTGAGACACACTGGAGTTGAGGATCTGTGGGGTTTATTCTCCCAAAAATATAATTTACAATTTAGCAGACGCCTTATTCCAAAGCGACTTACAATACCAATTACAGGGACATTCTCCCTGGAGTAACTGAGGGCTAAGTGCCTTACTCAAGGGCACACTAGTAGTGGTGTTCCAGGCGGGATTTGAACTCGCAACCTTCCGATCATCAGCCCACCCCACTATCCATTAGACAAAAAAAAAATATATATTTTATGAGATCCATCATTTTATTTTATGAGATCCATATGTGGCGGACGATATTTGATTGTGGCCCGCCACAAATAAATCAATGTATGGGAAACACTGGAATGTACTTTCTTTTTGTGTTTTATATCATAATAAAATCAATATATTTAGGTTTTTCGGCTGACGCCTCTTGGACTTGAAAATAAAACTGAAACTGAGATAACCTTTTTTATTTAAACTATTGTTTTGCATTATACATTTTCTGACATAGATGACTTTAGAAACTCCCCGCTGTGGGACAACAAAGGATTTCTGATTCGGAAGTTAAAGTCAGAATAATCAATAAAAAACATTGTTGCAGCCATTAAAACATCGGCTTGAAATGCTCTAACATGCATAAATGTTGTTATGATATTAAGCATAGTGCTTAAACTGCATTTGCCAAATGTAAAAATCACCAGTCTAAATCACACACATCAGCACACTGGAGTAATAACCATGTAACCACAGAATAAGCAGACTGTGAGATCTGACACCAACAACACTTTTTGATGTCTTTGTTTAACAACTCAACATGACCCTGCAGTAATGGTGGCACAGTCGTGAGAGGAAATATAATCTATCACCAATTCTCATGCCATGTGTGTCTACACTGAACATGGAGTTGTCCTTTTCAATTAAAGTCTGAATGCCAAAGTCCTGGATGTTTGAATGGTTCAATGTCAAATGCACCATGTGTAAATGCTTCTGCTATCCTCCACTCATTACTTATACAAACCACCACTTCATGAATATGTTCTTTAACACAATAAGTACAGCAAGAAGCAAACACATGGTTTGAACTAGTAAATTAAATATTAAAGTTTTTGGATTTAGTTTGAATAGTTGCTAAACAACAAAGGAAAAGCAACCAAATACATATTTATGGTAGAAACACCTTTCGTCTTTTATTCATTTTCCCTCTAAGCTTCAAAAGCCATTATGCACCAACACTTGAATTATTAATAGAAACTGAGCTCTACTAACTCCACATTTTTACCATTTCATCAGGGGCTCCTGGTCGATCCTGAGCCAAAACTTTACACACCACTGACTGGAAAAGCAGAACCTTTCCAGGAACAAAGTAATGAATATTTGTTTTTTGGGGTAATAATGTATGCTAATGATGTGGTTTTACATGCTTAAATCGCCCAAAGCGTATGCAGCCGACTCGACATATAAGCAACCAATGGCATGGCTTCTCCGCTGTAGAAAGTAAACACAGATTCAGGTGTTTTTCATAAAGCCAATCTCCAAAGAATGGCCCGGAGACACAAAGCCTGAAGTCAGTTGGATCCTATTACTACATGAAGACGTTTATTGCAGCTTTGGGCACATGTCAGGATTAGTATCTTTGACACCATGTGGGTGCAACATGTAAAGCCAGTTGAAAAGTTCCAACACATGTACCACACTCCATCGCTCGCACGTCATGCACACTTAATTGGCATTCGCAAAAAGACCGCAACATCTCTCATTACTAACACACCCTGCAACACCATGGCTGCTATCAAAAAACCCCTGGCTGCAAAAGACAAAACAATGGAGGACTTTGGACCTGACTTGGGTCCAAAGAATGAGTTTATTTCTGTTGCCTTTAACTTCCTCAAGTTTGATCCATGCAAGGAATTCCCCAAACCAAAGGCTAATTTCTTTCTTCAACCCAGCATGTGCAGTTGTGTCTTACTTTGCACGCATGATAATCACTTTAAATGCATGGTGTAACATGACCTTTCCACAAGAACTGCTGCATGCTGAATGAGCAAAAGTCATAAAAAAGCAAATGAGAGGGACTGAAAGGGGGAAATAAGAGTATTTCAACAAGCAGCTACATGCAAATTAACAGGATTCTAAAAACTGGTAAGCAACTAAAGGACATTTGGAAAAGACAATCACGCCACAAGATGTCAAATCAAATCAGAGTCACAACATAATGGCTGCTCTGATGTGTCAAAATGCAAGAGATCCTGGATTCTGGGTTGCATTAAATGGATAATTGCATTTCTGCTCAAAGTGTCTGGATCGTGGGTGGAGAAACTGATTACATTTTTTTTTTCTTGAGGAAGGCCTCGCTAACCAAAGAGGCTTAAGGCTCCTCTGAAGCCATTCCAAAGGATTTCCCCACTTGACAACAACAGCACGGTGTTTACGGCAATGCCAAAATACAAAACAAGCGTGACCTCCAACATTTCTCTCCAGCATTTGCAATCCACACTTGTCACCAGACTGTCACACTGCAATGCTTTCAACTCAGTCTTGATCTATTGTTCCCTAAAATAAGAAACCTCAGATCAGTGCATAGGATGGTACCGACATTTGTTCCTTACACGAGTGCCCGAGAGAGAGGTAACGTCCATTTGGACAAAAATAAACATAAAAACAACAGATATAGGACCAGCTGTTTTGTTCTAATATAACATGTGCACTTTTACTTGCACCAATGTGTCATTTGCACATATTTCTTGCATTTAATGTCTTTGTTTATTGTATATCTTAATGCTGCACTGTTGTTAGATTCTGGCACTACAGCTGTTCAATGCAAACAACAAAGCTGTAAATATTGTGCATATGACAATAAAGCTTTTGAGTCCTTTGGATACTCAAATAAGAGTTACAAGCTTGTGGTTTTTGCAGCTATGTGTGAACTGTCAACTTAAAGTGTGTCACTGACTTGCAGAATGTCAACTAATTCAATGTCTAAAATCAGCAACATCAATATATATCCACCCTCGTCTCCATTGCTAAAAGTGTGTCCAACAAGAAGAACGTTTTCAAGACTTTTAGTGAAGTAAGTCACACATTAGTTTGAGACTAACTGTAGCCGCATGCAGTGGTGTAAAGTAACTAAGTACATTTACTCAAGTACTGTACTTCAGTAGACTTTTAAGATACTTGTTTTGCTACTTTGTACTTCTACCCCACTATAAATCAGAGGTTCATAGTGTACTTTTACTTTTACAAAACTTGCTTCCACTTTGCAAGATTTGATAAACACATTATTGCATCAATAACTCAAATCAGAGCATGTATTATAAGACAATCTGCAAAATGTGTACTTTGACTTGTGGTACTTTAAGTATATGTTGATGCTCATACACTTGTACTTTTACTTGAGTAACATTTTGAATGCAGGATTTTTACTTGTAACAGTCTTTCTACGCTATGGTACAATATCCGAGTACTTCTTCCACCTGAAAACATGAACATATATCCACCCTCTTCAACATTGCTTAAAGTTTGTCCAACAAACAGAAAGTGTTAAGACTTTTAGTGAAGTAACAGACACATTAGTTCAAGACTAAGTGTAGCCTCCCCATGCAAAACTGCAGATAAAGTGAGAAGCCTTCAAACGCACATTTTGGTGCAAAAAATAAATCCAGTCCTTACGATAAATGTCACAAACATGCACAATTTCACACGTTTCTGTTATGCTACTTCACTATAAATCCGTGAACCTCGTGGACTCACCCGTGCAGTCAGACCGCAGTTATTCTTGTGGTGACAGTCCCGCGGCTCGAGGCGAGAGCTCGTGCAGTAGTATTTCTGCTTCACGAGCCAGTCGTCGATTCCCTTTCTCGCCAAACAGGCATTGACTACAAAACTGTCGCCTGAAAAGAAAGAAGCGTATTATTTAGCAGCTATAAAGTATGTGTTTTTTTCGCGCTACACTCGTGTTTTCCACTAGCGGTATCTCCAGAGAGTCTTCGCTGTAATGCTTCTCTAATGAGCTGACACTTACAAAATTCACAAAACTGACCGAAATGTGAGACTTTATGATAATAAAAAGGGAAATATAAGAGCGCTTACCTTCTGGGCTCTCCCTCGGTTTACAAATAGCGGCTTTAGAGAGAAAGAAAGTCAGACAATGAATACTGGAAAGTATCGCAGCAGCACAAGAACTGTGATTTGTTTCAGGAATAAGAAACCTTACCATGTTTCGAGTGCAGTTTACCCATTTCTATGCATCGAGTTGGAGTTGAAAACCATCAGAAGAATATAATCCAGAGGAGAAAAATGGAAAACCTGCTACAAATATCCAGACAGAGGAGCGTCAGAAGACTGCGCTCAGAGGAGCTTCAGGACCGCAAGACTCAGAGCCAAACGAGCCTTTGATCCGGAGAGAAGACACACACACACACAGGACTATATAGGACTTCCGGTCTGCGCTTTCACAATAAAACACTTCAATCAATCAATCAATGTTTATTTATATAGCCCAATATCACAAATGTTACATTTGTCTCAGTGGACTTCACAGTTTGTACAGAATATCAGTTAATTAAGACACTTAATTAAGACACTGGCTTCACAAAGCAATGATTAGCATAACTGAAATACACATATGTGGCCAAATACTCACACATGTTTATGAAAATAATCCAATATTTAATTGGTTTTAGCCATATAGGCTACATCTGTAATACCTGCACAGCTCTGCCACTTATAACTGATATAGTGCATGTATTATATTATCATATTCTTGATGTTTGTATATGTATATTCCTTGTAGGCTTTACGTGTCGTTATTATTTCTTAATCGTTTTTAAAACTGCCTTTAAAATGGTTTCATATGTGTTCCTTTATTACAGCATGATTCCTCTTATTGTGGTGATATCATTATACACAAAAGCCAATTTCTTATATATGTAATACTGGCTACTTTTCAATTAACATGAATTTGATGTATAGCTTAGCCTACTTATTCCTGCATTTTATTACAATTTTCTGTCACTTGCACTGTTTTATTTCATTATCCGTTTATATGTCTTAAGTATAGTGTGTGTGGCATTGTTGGAGAAGTCTGAGACTAAATATTTGTATTGCCAACCACTAAGAAGAATCTTTTTTGCATGTGACAATACACCTTCAAATCTGATAATGAATGTAAGGAGGCGTGTGGCGCAATGGGTTAGTGCGTTGGTGTTCGGATCAGGGGAGCACAGGTTCAAACCCCACTGCAGTCAACATGTCGTTGTGTCCCTGGGCAAGACACTTCACCCCAAATTGCTCCTGTGGGGATTGTCCACAGTATTGAGTATGTAAGTCGCTTTGGATAAAAGCGTCTAACAAGTAACATGTAATGTAATGATATACAAAACTAGAAAGAAGCCTATATTTAAACTCCTACTATTTAATCATTGCACATTTTTAATTAACTGTAAACCTAAATCCTAGTAAGCTAAACTAATCTTCTAGAAATAACTCCATATCAGCCCATTTGTTGTGAATTATTTTAATTTCTTGATTTTGTTTTGAAAATCGGTGTAGAAACTTCCGGTACGCCGCGTCTTTTTCTGGTTGACTTGACGATGGTCCCTCTCTCTTCAAAGCGCAGATGAAGCGTCAATAAAACCTTAATTCCACTCCACAGAAGATCAGGATTTACACCTCAGCCCACACTGCAAGCTAATGCATGTAAACTCACTCAGTGTTTCCCAAAACTGAGGTTCCTGAAGGGGTCCCAAGACTTTAACTTCAACTTAAAGGGGACCTATCATGCAAAATCCACTTGTTCATGTCTTTTCTACATCAACACGTGTCCCCTCTGTGTAAAGAGACTCAGATGTTGGCCACTTTATGATGTCATAACGATTGTTTGGCTTGTGTAACCATTAGCCAATCACCAACCAAGGTAACCCCCCCCCCCCCTGTTTGCTTCAATGGAGCATGGCTCTTCTGTGATTGATTAAATTACACATCCAACATCACTAATTATTAGCTTCAAGGGTTTTTCTATAATTTAAAATGAATAAACCTGATAGAGCCAACCATGGTGTAGTTAAATCGCTCTTTGCGCCCTCGATATCTATTTCTTTGTAATAAACTGCAGCAATAATCCTCTCAGACAGGCTTCCTGGGGACAGAATAATCGAACATGTTTGTGGTCAGCGTGAGTCTGTCTGTTTGAGGTCTTTGGCATGAGAATAAGGTTTAGACATCACAGTCTTATTGGACTGAGGCAGGAGATCAAAACAGGCTAATATTCTTTTGAAGTATTTGATTATATAATAAAAGACAGAGAAGCAACTGTGCCATGTCATGCTGTCATTGGCTCAATGTGACGGTAATACATTCGCACAGTGGGCATCTATCAATCCATGGACCCAACATTAATTAAGTTTAACACTTTTCCATACATATTTTTGTTTTGGTTATAATCTTCAAACTGTGACTGTTGAATGATCGCAGATAAGAAACCCTAAATGCAGTGAAAACCAACCCTGAAGAAACACAGCAAAGGAAAAGAATAATCATGTTTTTCCTTAATGATTTGCACACAATGAATCCTAATTTCACAGTGTATTAAAATGAGAAAATATAGAACCTTTTAACCTTTCTGTTCAGCGTTTCCTAAAAGGTCTTTTGGTTTGTACTTTCGAATTGTCTTGCGTCTTTAAATCTCCAATAATATAAATTACACAAAACGAAAAGTGTGTGTCGTTGATGTACTGTAATTAGGTTTTTATAATATAACTGCACATGTTTGACATTACAGTGCAACAGACAGAGCATCTTCAAATACAGTACATTCAAATTAGATAAAACACATTTTCATCACAAAGGTTTTCTGAGGACTGTCAGCTGGTGCAGGTTGATAGTATCGCTAAGAAGGAAGTGCTTTCTGTGATAGCAATCAAGTTGCAAAAAAACATGTTTTTCAAATGCTAGATGTCTAATTTTAGATCAAAACCCTCTTCTTGTCATTTCTGTGTCATGGTGTATCTTTTCCTTTTATGTCTAAAAGCGGCAGATTAAATCGTAGGGGAGGATTTGTTTGATTATAGGACATAATCTCAAAACCCAACATCTGTAAAAGCAAGTGGATTAGTTTAAGAACTGCTTAAATAGCAACATATATCACATTAGTAGATGGCTATCTGTTAATCTGTCCATCTGTCTGTAGAAGGGAAGCTGATTTTATTGTGTGTGTGACATTTCTATATAATTTACCTTTTCAATGCATTTTACAACATGCACCTTAAGCAATTATCCATTTTGGCATCACATGCAAACAGCATTAAAGTGAAATAAGTCACAGCAGCACTTTGCCAACGTAGAACCTAATACGATATCTTTACATCTTCTTCAGTAGTAGAAATAAAACAACCAATATCCCCCCCAAAAAAAACCTATAAGTGTCTTAGGCACGAACACTGGGGGAAATTCTGTAATCCGATGAATGCAAAGCAGTGTAAAATTCCCCTGCTGGTAAACCTCAGCCATTTGTGGTTCCTTCACAAAAGACTAAAAGCAGAATCTGTCAGTGTGTTGCGGTACCTCAGAAATCTCTACATGCATCAGAGACTTGTAGGACAACAAACAAGCAGCCCATGCTGACCAATCACAGTTCCTGTAGTTCCCACACTGTTCCACCATTGTTCAGGAGGCACACGTCAGTTACAGTGTGTCTGACAGCGTCAATAAGAAAGCCTTTGACATACAGGACACTATAGGCTTGGGGATGGCCAAATCATTTCAAAATAATGTACAATATGACAAGTGAAATTCTCTCTAACATCCTAGCAAAAAAATACATCTTGATATTAGAGTTACAAAATCAAAATGACTCATAATATTGTAACCCTTAAGCCATGAACAGAAAGTAATATTCATCTATGTTTGCCTATTTGAATACTTCACATCTTTACACATAAAACCCTCATATTTGAAGTGCAATAAGGCCATGAACTTTATTACATTACATGTTAGACGCTTTTATCCAAAGCGACTTACATACTCAATACTGTGGGCAATCCCCACAGGAGCAATTTGGGGTGAAGTGTCTTGCCCAGGGACACAACGACATGCTGACTGCAGTGGGGTTTGAACCTGTGCTCCCCTGATCCGAACACCAACGCACTAGCCCACTGCGCCACACAGCCTCCCTGTATTTAAGTCTTATGTATTGAATTCTTAAAAATGTAATTTAATAGGTACAGATACAGCCTTTTGATGTATTTTGCCACACTTATTAACTACTGAAATGTCAAACGTTAAACTGTTTCAGTAGTTTCGCAGAGAAATAATGATTTTCTGGTAGAAAAACTGACTTTCTAACTTCAAAACTATGCATTATCGCTTATCAAAAAAACGTAATAAACAACTGCAAATCCAGCCGGAGACTTCCTCCACCAACTACCTACAGAGGAAGGCCTCTAAATTCCTGCACATGGTTAGGCAGCTAATAGCCAAAGGTGGGATATGCAAATATATCTGAGTTGGGATGATTTCCGGGGAAGTCAAGATCAAAAACGTAACCTGGCCTCAATTTTCAGTGAAGGATTTTCTCATCTTTAGGGACGTGACTATTCACTGCGACACACGTCTTTAATGCAGCCCTCCAGATGCGTTTCCACTAAACAGAGGTTTCCGCATCCTGACTCTATCATCACAAGTATTACCAAGAGGAATCAGACTCCCCTTTGAACTAGTTTGCCACAGACACACAGATGAGCTTGTTATTATAGCAACTCGCCCGAATTTGCTGGGAAAGAAGGCCTGTCCCTGTGACACACTTCCTGTCCTTTGAAGAGGCCAACGGAGAGATGGCTTTGCGGGCCCTATTTCCAAGCTTCGCCTTTGATGCTTGCGAGAGAGGAGGTGGCGGGGGTTTAAAGCAAGACTTCCATCTCATAGACCACCAACCCTTCAATCAATCTCCATTTATCTTCGACGTGGTTATTAAAGCTTGACACCTCATCAAATCTGGGATAAATGAGGGAAATATTTGCCTGTTATTAAGGCATTCATCACATCCATTGGAAATTATTCCTTTGTGCTGGTGAAGCTTCATAGAACAAAAGCTAAATTCTTTAGGCACCTGCCTGATTGATGTAGGTATTTATTGACCTGGGGGGGCTCCTACCTTGGTGGCCAATAGCTCATTCCTCCATAAAACCCGCCATTCTCCCTGGAAACAGGCATAATGGGGGGGCATTGAGACGGGGATCTAATGGTTTGTCTGTGTTTATGTCCTTGTAACAATGTTAGGGGCCTGATGCCTGGAGAGCCCACCGGAGGGAATGATGCCTGGTGGTGAGGAGGGGGATGTGTAGCCTGAAGCGGGAGAGAGGAGCAGCTGC